GTTTAGTTTATATATTTATGTTTTAGGTGTATTCTTGTAAATAGCATATAGCTGGATTTTATTTTTAGTCCATATTGTTTCCTTGAAGCATTTAGATTGCTTAATTTTATGTAATTACTGAGGTATTATTGATGAATTCTCTTATTTGTGATTTTTATTCTACATTCTTTTTTCCTCTCCTCTCTTGCCTTCTTTAGATTTACTGAGCTTTTCCTCCCTGCATTCAATGTGTTTCTTCTACTGCTTTGGAAGTAATTTAGTATTGTTCTTCCTTCTGTGATTACCTGGTAAGTTTTATGTAATCTTAACTCATCATAGTCTCACTCCACATGACACTACATATATATTTTTAAAAAATATTTTAATATACTGTTTAGTATGTTAAATTTAGTTATACACACATACACACACACACACACACACATATGTGTGTGTATATATGAGAGAGAGAGAGAGAGAGGGACAGAGAGACAGAGAGACAGAGACAGGATGATTGTGTAGCTCACTGTAGTCTTGAACTTCTAGGCTCAAGTTATCCTCCCTCCTCAGCCTCCCAAGTAGCTGGGACTACAGGTACACGCTACCATGCCTGGTTAATTATTTTATTTTTGTAGAGATGGAGTCTCCCTGTATTGCCCAGGCTGGTCTCAAATTCCTGACCTCAAGTGATCATTCCACCTTGGCCTCCCCAAGTGTTGGGATTATAGGCATAAACCACCACACGTGGCCTGTGGAAAATATATTTTGACTGAGGAGAATACTAACATTTTCTTCTCTATTTTGGAGGTAATACTTGTCTTCTGACTTCCTTTGGAGGCTAACTCTCAGTCTAATCTGTTCTCGGTCTAATTGGCCTTCCTTTGGAGATGAATTTTCAGGATCTCACTCTGTTGCTCAGGCTGGAATGCAGTGGTGTGGTCATAGCTCATTGCAGCCTCAAATTCTTGGGCTCAAGCAATCCTCTAGGCTTAATCTCCTGGGTCGCTAGGACTACAGACACATGCCACTATGCCTAATTTAGTTTTTTTTTTTTTTTTTTTGGTAGAGATGGGGTCTTTTCTATTTTCCCACGATGGTCTCCAGCTGCTGGTCTCAAGCAATCCTTCTGCCTCAGCCTCCCAAACTGCTGGTATGACAGGTGTGAGCCACTGCACCCAGCCTAACTGATGCTCTTTGAAGGTAATTAAAAAAAATCTGCTTGTAAGGTTTTGTTGTCTTAGTAATCTTGCAGTTTTACTATATTGTATTTAGCTGTGGATTTCTTTCTTTTTTTCTTTTTTTTTTTTTTTTTTTTACCATAATTAGGATTTGTTGAGCTTAAGTTTATATATTGGTGTTTTTTATGATTTCTTGAAAAACTTTTAGCCATGACTCTTCAAAGATTGCTTCTGTTCCATAAAAAATTATTTTCTCCTTTTGAAATAGATCAGACATATATGGGATCTTACCTTTCATGTCTTAACTTCCCTTTGATATTTTTCACCTCTTTATGTCTCTGTGTTGTATTCCAAATTTCTTCAGATCTCACTTCTGCTTCACTAATACTCTCTTCAGCTGTGTAATCTGTTGTAAAACTATTCACTGGATTATTTTTAGTGATTTTAAAATGTTTTCTTGAAATTTGTTTAGTATTTTTGAATATTTACTCTTCACTTGTTTTCAAGCTGCCTGTTTCTAGAAATATATTAAATGTGCTTATTTTCTCTTCTGTATCTGATAATTTCACTATGTGGAAGAGTTTTCTGTCTGATTCTGATATCTGTTATTTCTGGTTGCCCTTTCTTGTGGGTGCTTGTTGCCTTGTGTGTTTGAAGATTTTATACTGTGAGCTGCTCATTTTCCCTGCAATTTCATATCTGAGGTTCTCTAAGGCCTAGAATGAAGGAGATATCTTCCAGAGAGGACTTGTTTGCTTCCCCCAAGTGACTGGGAACATTGCCAGCTTGGGACCATGTTACGTTCTCTATCAGAGGTTTCATTGGGCCATTCAGGTAGTGTGTATTTGGGCTACAAAACTAACTGAGGGTCCACTCCTGATTACAAATTCTTAGGGGGATTTTGTTTTTCTCTGCTCAGGACCAACCTTTAAGACAAGTGATTTTTCTTGTATTTTATTTTGGATTCACCATTACATTGAAGGTATAGCCCTTGGGGGCCCCAAATCTCTTATTATATGCCCTACCTTTGGAGGCTCTTTTGAGGCAGTGAGAACTTACAGTTAAGTTCATTAGGCTTTGTAAATAATTGCAACATAAAATATTTCAGACCTTTTCTTACCTCTCCAGGTTTTCATACCCACTTAGTTTTTGACTTGAGTATTCCTCATATTGTTTCCAGTTGATGGATGCATTTAACATTTAAAAAAATCCTTTTTTTTTTTTTTTTTTTGAGACGGAGTCTCGCTCTGTCGCCCAGGCTGGAGCAGTGGCCGGATCTCAGCTCACTGCAAGCTCCGCCTCCCGGGTTTATGCCATTCTTCTGCCTCAGCCTCCCCAGTAGCTGGGACTACAGGTGCCTGCCACCTCGCCCAGCTAGTTTTTTGTATTTTTTTTTTTTTTTAGTAGAGACAGGGTTTCACCGTGTTAGCCAGGATGGTCTCCATCTCCTGACCTCGTGATCCGCCCGTTTCGGCCTCCCAAAGTGCTGGGATTACAGACTTGAGCCACCGCGCCCGGCCAACATTTAAGAAATTTTATCTAACCTGTCTAGTTTTCCACAAAGGAGTATTTTCCAGGAACCTAGTTTACCTATGGCCAGAAGGAGAAGTCCTTTGGCTGATGTAATGAATTATTTACCATGGAAAGCTTCACAACACTGAGCCATTCTTGCATTTCTGCAGTAAACCTAATTTGGGCATGGCCTTACCAACCTGAGATTCAGTCTTTTCTATGTGGCTAGATTCTATTTGCTATTCCCTTGTTTGGATTTATGAAAATTCTTTTCTTCCATGAGACTGAACTATATATTCACTTTATTTTCACACTGTCTTTATCAGGTTTTGTTGCTGAAGTTATGTATGCTGGCTAGCTTCATAAAAACAATAAGTTAAATAGCATTGAGTTTGTCTCTGGTCCTGTTCTGTGTTCCACTTTGAAATGTATCTCTCCATTGTCCACTCCTCCCAGCTCCCCTCATGCTGAGCCATGTCCCTGGAGATGAGGGAACCTCAGGCCTTCTCTTCTCCACTTACAGAATCTGACTCCTATCCCACAGTCTGTCAGGAGCAGCAATTTGGACTCCAGAGTTTGGGGGAGGCAGGAGTTTCCTGGGTCCCTGGGCTTGGCTCTTCCCCAGTTCCATTTCTGAGTCTCCTCCCAACATGGTACTGCAGTCACGCCCCCCACTGCTCAGGTGTTGTCCTACTGAGTGTTTGCTTTAGCTGGTCTTCCTGGCCTGGTGTTGATTCTTTCGACAGCTATTCATTGAGCACTTACCATGTGCCAGGCAGTGGGATGCTACAATGTGTAAGACCAGATTCCTTTTCTCATGAAGCTCACAGTCCATTGGGGTAGGGAGGCAGACCATCAACAAATACACTATATGGCAGCCAGGTGGTGATCAGAGCGCAGTGGAGAAAAAGGAAGCTGTGTGTCCCCAGTAGGCTTCTGGCTTGTTTGGGCATCTACAGGTCAAGCCCACATGGTCCCCTCATCGTCCCCCGAGTTCTTGCTAGAATACAGTGGCATGATCTCAGCTCACTGCAGCCTCTGCCTCTCAGGTTCAAGCAATTCTCTGCCTCAGCCTCCCAACTAGCTGGGATTACAGGTGTGTACCACCACCCCCGGCTAATTTTTGTATTTTTAGTAGAAATGGGGTTTTGCCATGCTGGCCAGGCTGGTCTCGAACTCCTGGCCTCAAGTGATCTGCCTCCTAAAGTGCTGGGATTACAGGTGTGATCCACTGCACCTGGCCCCTTTTCGCTTTTTTTTTTTTTTTTTTAAACAATTACTTTCTCATATAAATTTCACAATCAACTTGTCAAGCTTTTGAACTATTGGTAGGATTTTGATAGGGATCATGTTGAATTTGTAGGTTTGGGACTAACATAACTGAATGTGAACCTATCTATGAAGATGTATTTCCCCTCTTAACTAAGGTCCTCTTTGTCATATCCATAAAGGTCTTTTACAGGTTTTGTGTATTTTTGTCAGATGGCCTATGTTGTATATCTTTTTTTCTATTATATTTTCTACTCAGCGATGGCTGGGGTATGTGGGACCACTGAGTGTAGGTTGATCTTGTGTCCTGCTGGTCAGAGTAGTCTTTCTAAAACATTGCCCTGATGCCACTTCCTGTTCAAGCTCTTCAGAACCCTCTCTTTGCCTCAGTAGACTGGCCTTTGTCCCCTCCCTTGCCTTCTGGGTCAGGTACATCCTGAGGTTCCATCTCACTTCTATTCCAGTGAGACCTGCCCCACCAGCTCCTCAGCAGGGACCCCCTGCTAGTGGCCACCGCCCCACAGATGGGGAAGCCTAGCCAGGGAAGGAGCTGTGCAGGGCCAGCCCCAGATCCCACAGGGCTAGGGTGTGGAGGCAGATGGTGAGAGCACTGGCCCTGATGACCCTGGGGTGCCCTGCTCCACCCATCCCTCACCTGGAAGTGCAACCCAGGCTGCTGCTGTCAAGTGACACGGAACTCACCAGGGCTGGCCTTCCCCCTGAAGGCCTCCCATTAGACAGCTCCAGGAACTGAAACACGGGAGGGGGATGCTGGTGGTCTCCACCAGGCTAAAACACTGCCCTTCCGAAACACTGCCCTTCCAAAGGGCAGAGCTGGGTTCAGGTCAGCCCTGTGACCACAGCATCAGGGCAGCCTTTGACAGAGCTGCAACTCTCTCCCCAGCCCTTTGGGCAGTTTCCTGGGTCTCCTACCTCCTCTCTTCCCCGACCCCCCTGCTGTTTCACCCCATGCTCTATCCCCATGCCACCTTGTAGGCTGTCACCTGTCCTTCTATGTTAGCCCCCTCCACCCAGACACAGAGAGACTGAGGGACAGGGCAGTGGAAAACTCCAAAGCCAAGATTTTTTATTACTGGTCAAAAGGTGCTTGCTAACAAAACAGTGTTGGGGAGAGGTACATTCCACAGCTCTGTGGGAGCCCCAGTGGGGCCATCCTGCCCTACCCCACCCCGCCTCTCCAGTGGGCATCGTAAGGCATTTCACACATTGGTGTTTTCACTTTTTTTTTTTTATGTATATATAAAAACAAAACCAGTCCTGGAGTAGAAAGAAAAACCCTGTGATGAACTTTTAGGACTAAACTGAAATGGAAAGGATTGGAGTGTGAGATTCTGAGGGGCTGGGTCAGTGACCATGGTGGTCCAGCCCCCCATGGTTGGCAGAAGCCGCTGGAAGGGGGCATGAGGAGAGGGAAGGGCACAGCTGACATGAGGGCCAAACTCAGACAGGTGTGCCCGTCTTCATCATTTTTTCACTTTTACATACTGTAGAAATTTAAGCAAAATAGCTATTTTATATATATTTATATATCTCTCTATATATAAATTAGGCAAATAAAGAGTTCAGGGGGCACTGAGATGGGGCACCCCTAGGGGCTTCCTAGGATGAGGAGGGATGCAAGGTCTCTGGTGCCTGGGTCACCAGCCCAGGCTGGGCCAAGGGTTTGTTCATTATTGCTGATTTGGGGCCTGGGTCTCAGGGCGGGGAGCACCTGCAGGCCTTGCCTTCCAGCCCTTCCTGGCCTCTTGGGGCTAGGGAGCCACCTGGGCTGGCTAGGGCGAGGCCAGGGACTGCTGCCCTCAAATCCACATGGGGGATGCCATCAGTACCCCCTCGTGCATCTGTGGGTGGGAGCTCGAGAAACTCTCTGTGCTCTGCTGGGCTGAGGCAGCCCCCTTCTGTTTTGGGCTCTGTGGGGCCCTGGCAGGTGGGGGTGTGGGCAGCTCAGATACCATCGAGGACTTGATATGTTGAGCTACAAAATTATCCCAACTCAAAGGGGTCTGGCTTCCTGATGTCTTAAAAATAAGGGGCTCTTGCCAGGACACTTTTGTGGCAAGAAAGCACACTTGGAAAGCTGTCTGCTAACTGTGGTACTAAAAATATTTACTAAACATCATGGCTGGAAAGAAATGGAGATCATTTTTCTAAAAAAGTCGAAGAGGCTCCCTAGGAGGGGCCAGTTCCTCCCTGGGTTGGGGGCTGGTGATTTGCGCAGCCCGTGGCCCGGGCCAGCCGGCCTGAGTTGTGGTAACTGGGGCAGGGGTTCCAGTAGGGCCCAGGTCCATAATGAAGGGGCACGGGTGACCCGGCGCACCTGGGGGCTGAAGAGAACCCAGGTCAGCCCTTCCTCCTTCCAAGGTGGGAGTCTCAAGAAAGTGTGGGAAAAAAAAAAATAGGAAAGGAAACAGGAAGGGCTGGGAATGGGCTGGGAGAAAGACCATTCAGTACTAAATTGAGTGCATTAATAAACAGGTGGGCCGGGCTGTGCAGGCGCCTGTATTTGCTGCAAGGGTGGCGCTCAGAAGATGTTGGGGCACATGTGCCAGTCTTGCTTCTCCTTGGCCTCCCAGTAGCCGCCCTTGTACACACAGGCCATCTCCCCGGTCAGCGGGTCCAGCCTCTTCTCAAACCACAGTGGCTTGTAGGCATCCGCCTCCTTCTCTGCTGGGCAGGCACAGTGGGCTGGTGGGTCGGCAGGTGGCATGCTCCCCCGGAATCCGTCCCCGCGGAACCCCCACCCGGGCACCCCTTTCCTCCCGTGCGGGGCGCCCTTCCCGTCACCGGCCTCACCTTCCTCCGAGCTGCAGCTGCTGCCGGGCCCGCAGGCCTCCAGCCGCCGGCGCCGCGACAGGCGCTGCTTCTCTTCCAGCCGCTGCTTCTCGGTATTGGCCTCGTCCCAGCAGCCCTTCTCCATCAGCCGCTGGTCGGGCCGCAGGCGGCTGTCGGTGGGCGCTACGCCCTCCTCGTGCTCGTTGAGGGTCAGGGCCAGCTCTGAGAAGTAGTACATGTTCTCCGCGTTCTCCCTGTGGCGGTGGCGGTGGCGGAGGTGTGAGCGGGACCACACCTGCAAGGCCGCCCTCCCCTGCCTGGCGGTGTCTCCCCACCCTCCAGCTCCCGGCCTCCAGGACTCCCTCTGGACTTGGGCCCACCCCAGTGAGCCCACCCGGCGGAACCCAGTGGCTGCAAACAACTGCTTTCTGCTCCCCACACCTCCCATGCTCACATGGCCAACCTGCCGCGGTTTTGCCACATTAGACTCATCTGGGAATTGTCTAGCTTAGTATTTCCTGGCTTTTCTTCTTTTCTATTATGTTTTTTTTTCTTCTTTTTTGAAACAGTTTCACTCTTATTGCCCAGGCTGCAGTGCGTGGCCTTTTTATTTTTATTGTTTAAAGACAGGGTCTCCACCGGGCGCAGTGTCTCATGCCTGTAATCCCAGCGCTTTGCGAGGCTGAGGCCCGTGGATCACGAGGTCAGAAGTTCAAGACCAGCCTGGCCAACAGAGTGAAACCCCGTTTCTACTAAAAATTAGCCGGGCATGGTGGCAGGCACCTGTAATCCCAGGTAATCTACTCAGGAGGCTGAGGCGGGAGAATTGCTTGAACCCTGGGAGGCAGAGGTTGCGGTGAGCCGAGATCACACCATTGCACTCCAGCCTGGGCGACAGTTGGAGACTCCATCTCAAAAAAAAAAAAAAAAAAAAAAAAAAAAAAAAAGACGGGTCTCACTTTGTGGCCAAGGCTGGAGTGAAGTGGCCTGATCTCCGCTCACCGCAACCTCCGCCTCCACCTCCTGGGTTCAATCAACTCTCTGGCCTTAGCCTCCTGAGTAGCTGGGATTTCAGGGCATACCACCACATCCAGCTAATTTTATTGTATTTTTAGTAGAGATGGGGTTTGTCATGTTGGCCAGGCTGGTCTTGAACCCCTGACCTCAATTGGTCTGCCCATCTTGGCCTCCTAAAGTGTTGGGATTGCAGGCATGAGTGACCACGCCCAGCCTATATGGGGATTTTTCTAGTCATTTTTTTCTAGCATAATTGCCTTGGAGTCAGACAATATACTTGGCATAATTTCAGTCCTTTGAAATTTGCTTTATGGCCCAGTATATGGGCAGTTTTTGCACACGTTCCATGTGATTGAAGAGAACGCATTTGCCACAGTTGTTGGGTGCAAGGTTGTGTAACTGTCCAGCAGGCCTTGTTCATATTTTCTCTACTTGGGTTGTAGTTAGTCCATCTTTCCTAGTGTGTGTGTGTGTGTGTGTGTGTGTGTGTGTAAATTACGTAAGGGTTTCTTTTGTTGAAAAGATCCTTCACAAAATACCATATCCATAGATTTACTTTCTGTCATATAGCTGAATGTGTTGTGTTTGGAATTCCATTCTTACATTTAAAAATCAACTGGATTGCCCAGAAGTTTAGATGCATTTGTTTTGTTTCTTTATCTTATCCACATTGAAGATGTAAGTAGATGATCTGAAAGCATCAGGCTTGATTACACCACATAATGCATGTCTTTCTTAAGTAATGGTGTTACAGAAATGGTTCTTATCTCAGAAGCAGAGAAGCTGACAGGTGGAAGGAAGGACAGAGTCAGTTCTGTGGATTGCTAAGGACTTGTAACACAGACACAGTAGGAGAAGCCAAGGATGACAGCCGGTGACCAATTACTAAGCACACTCCGCTGGGCGCCCCACCCTGCCATCACCCGGCAAGGGTCTCTTTCCTAGGACCTTGCTGCCAGCCACCCCCCAACTGCTCCTCAAAGGGAAGACTGGGATTTGGGTACTGAAGCATTTTTAATCTGTTCACACATAGGCATTCAAGCTCAAAAGCCTAACCCCTACCACTCCCAGGTAAGTGCTGAACCCTGCACATGGGAACAATCAAGTGTGTCCCCAAGATGCAGCCACAGACCTAGACAGCTAAAGTCCTATACGGTTATCTGAAGTTTCCTGACAGCTCTGCATAGTACAATTTCATTTATCAAAGGAAATGAGTAAAGTACCAGATTCTAGAACCATTTTGGCTATGAATTGAAGGGGAGGTGGGAAGCACAGTATCTCGTTATGTTGTCTGTATTAGGAACAGATAAACACAAACACACAGGCAACAGGGATTTGGGGAAACGCTGTGTCAGCACTGCAGTCAACCAAGTGCAGTGCCAGCACTACCCCCAACCCCCAAAGTGCCTCGGCCCAGCAGAAAAGAAACCATCTGGCCATTCGCTGCAGCTGGCCAGAGAGGGGAACCTCGACCATGTCTGGTGAAAAGAGTGAACTAGCTGGGACACAACCTCGAAAGAGCAGGAACAAAAACACGTGAACACATACGAACATTCACTGTATCTTCTCCATGGACTCCCTACCACTATTCCACAGTCTCCACTTTCAGGTCTCACTGTTTCTCATGTGAGCCTATCCCTTTGGACAGTCCACTTTGGGAAGGGGTCATGGAGCCAGGGCTCCCTCTCAATAGAAATGGAAAGGACCTTGCAAGGATTAACAGCTATTTTTATCCTAGTTGTGAAAACAAGGTGCCTCCAATTCTCTATGTCCATCACAGCTGAATACTATACTGCAGTTCAGTCTGTCAGTGACTTCTGGTTTTTGTTGGAAGCCAACGCAATACAGAACTCAACATGCAGGTCAGAAGAGAAACACTGAAGAAATGAAAGGAAACGCCTGGAGTCGGGCCAGTGTCTAAGGTAAAAAGAGAAAGCCAAGGAGAAAAATGATGCAGCACCGCAGCCCAAATGACTCTCCCACACAGCCACCTCCGATCCTCCGGGGAACCCCATGTGCTGCTAGGAAAACAAGGAGCTGGGAGGAAAAGGACAGAAGGAAAATAGGGAAGCAGTGGTAGAAAGAAAAAAACACACAAACAGGCACTACATAGATACAGCAAAGCCCACCATGTACTAAAAACCACTTGTTAACAGCTGGCATGCACTCAACAAGCTGTGTTTTCACTGTGGGGAGGCCAGTGGCAGGCGCGGAAGTGGAAGCAGCAGGAACACGGCCCAGGGACTCACCAGGCTATGGTCCTGCTCCAACCCCCCAAGTCCCATTCCCTCCCAACCGCAGGCTCATTCTTGCTCCTTGTGGACGAATTCCGCTCTGGGTTTGGCACCCCCGAAGATAGCAGAGTTGGGATTGGCTACTTGATTGAGGGGCATCACAACCGTTCAAGGTTTAAGCTGGAGTCATGGTCTTTGTGCTCTTCCCTCCTCTGTTGGTTCTTTGAAATCCATGTTGGATCCGTGGAGGGGAGGACCATCTCTGACGTGGGTACCCATTGTGGGGCCTGTTGGCCAGTCATCTGGGTGACTACCTCCCCTGCCTCCTAAGAAGTCATCCCTGAATCCTCGTCATCTGGGCCACCTTTTCTGAATCCAGAGCCACCTTTATCTTGTTTTCTGCCTTCTGCAGTGTCCACATGAAGTGACCGATTACCCAACAGTGCACCATCGTATGTCAAAGCTTCCTTAAGGGAATCCACTTCATTGAATTCTATATAGTAGAATCCTTTAAATTTATCTGTGTCTTTGTCTCTGACTACCCGTATACTCCTTATGCTTAGATCCTTAAAGATAGCATCTATATCACCCTGAACCATATTAAAAGGTAGATTTCCTATGTATATTGTATGGGGGGCTCTGTGGGCAACTCCTTCTGGCTACGGGAACCATGGCCACCAGTACTGCTGCAGCACCTTCTGCTTTTTTTTTTTTCTTATTATATTGCTAAGATTTACCTATATTGCTTCATGTTACTAGGGTTTAGTTTTAGCTACTGTACATATTCCTTCATATGAACGTACCACAGTTATTCATTCAATAATTTGTGTTGTTTCCAAGTTTTTATTAGAATAGTCTCATGCATAGTCTTATGCATAAGTCCTGTTGTACATTTGCAAGAATTTCTCTTGAGTATATTTTTAGAAGTAGAATTACTGTGTTATGACTGTGTGATTGTACATCTTTTTTTGCGGGGGGTGGAGTTTCACTGTTGTCATCCAGGCTGGAGTGCAGTGCAGTGGCGCCATCTCAGATCACTGCAACCTCCACCTCCCAGGTTCAAGCAATTTTCCTGCCTCAGCCTTTGGAGTAGCATGTGGATTACAGGCGTGTGCCACTATGCCTGGCTAATTTTTATATTTTTAGTAGAGACAGGGTTTCACCAAGTTGGCCAGGCTGGTCTCGAACTCCTGACCTCAGGTGTTCCACCTGCCTTGGCCTCCCAAAGTGCGGGGATTACAGGCGTGAGCCATCACGCCTGGTGGATTTTTCATCTTTAGGAGGTAAAGCCAAACTGTTTTCCCGAGTGTTGTGCCAATTTACATTGCCAGCAGCAATATATCAGAGATATTGTAGATCTATGGCTTCTTCAACATATATGGTTTTTATATGGTGACTGTCTATATATGTTTTTTCTGCAAAATTCTTGTTCATGACTCTTGTGCATTTTCCCATTACTTTTACATTATTTGTTGATTAGAAGTTCTATATGTGGGCTGGGCATGGTGGCTCTTGCCTGTAATCCCAGCACTTTGGGAGGCAGAGGTGGGCAGATCACCTGAGGTCAGGAATTTGAGACCAGCCTGGCCAATATGGCAAAACCCCGTCTCTACTAAAAATACAAAAATTAGTCAGGCATGGTGGTGCACACCTGTAATCCCAGCTCCTCAGGAGGCTGAGGCAGGAGAATTGCTTGAACCCGGGAGGCAGAGGTTGCAGTGAGTTGAGATCACACCACTGCACTCCAGGCTGAGTGACAGAGTGAGACTCCATCTCAAAAAAAAGTTTTTTATATGATCTTTTAAAAATTATTATTTTTAACTGTGATAAAATACTCTGTATTCTTGATAATAATCCTCTGTCAAGTGTAGGTAGGTATTATGATTACCTTCTCCAAGTTTGTTTATGCATCGTCTTTTCACTTTCTTTAAATTGCCTTTTAGTGAGTAAAGTTCTCAATGAACAAAAGTACTTTATTATGGTCAAATATATGAATGCTTGTG